GCAGCCAGTTGTAGGAGGTGGCCAAGGTGGAACCGGACGATCCACCACCACCGCCGGTGGTGGCGGCGGTGTTCATCACCGTGGTCGTCTCCTTCTCCCTCTCCAGCCGGTCGACGTCGACAATCTTGTAGCGCAGCCGGTCGAGGATGACGCCAATGTCCTTGATGGAGAGGTGACGAGAGGAGGACTGGTGGCGGTGGCGAGGATGGTGATGGCTACTTTGATGTCTGCAGCCACCCCCTCCATCGAGCTGCGAATCGACGAGCAGGAGGTACCGCTCTCTGAGCTGCTCCTCCTCTCGCTCCGTCGTCTCCGTCTCTGACTCCTCCGAGCTGGGCGTTCTCTCCATCAGAATTTGTGTTCTCTGCTGACCACTAGAGGCTGTTTGCTGATGAACCACCCCACCGTTGAGCAGCTGTCCGAGAAGCGATATGTTGGAGGAGGACTGTTGCTGTTGGCTTGATCTACTACCGCCACCACCCCCGCCTCCACTACCTCCGTTATCCAGGTCAAGGAAGCGGACGTGAACGCCCGCCTTCTTCGCCTTGGGCAGTATTTGTTGAGCAATTTGAAAGGACATCTGCTGTTGCTGCTGCTGCTGATCACCTCCCGTCAGTAAAAGTTGAGCTTCAAGAGGCGTCTGAGGCAGTGTGGTGGAAGTGGTAAAGGAACTCCCGGTGACTCGATGATGATGCGGCGATGCAGCGAAAGTTGCAGTTGTGGTAGCTGGAGGAATCAACGGCGAGGTGGTTCTGCTGGCGGTTCGGGCTACCGGAACTCCCACTCCTCCTCCAGCGAGCAACAGCTCGGGAATGGGCGACGTGCCGACGGAGTGCGTGGGCACCACCCCGCCGCCCGCCTGGCTCACCCGTATGGAGCCGCCCTCTCGGTGCAGCGAGGAGCAGTGGAAATCACAAAAGGAGAAGGAGTTGTTGGCGGTGCTGGGCAGGTCGTGCGCAGAGCTGGTCAGGTCGTCGCCGCCTAGGCCTAGGCCCAGTGTGCTAGTCAAACCTCGGTAGTGGTGGTGGTCGCCGAGCAGGCTAAAGTCGTCCGCGGAGAGCGTCTTGTACGGCAGCGGAACCTCGGGGAAGGAGGTGGCAGAGGGTGGCCAGAAGGTGGTGGTGGTGGTGGTGGTGGTGGGACGACGGGCAGCAGTAGAGGCGTAGGCGCTGGTAGAGCGCATCCGAGACCGGGGAAAGGTTGAGCTGTAGACCTTCAGCTGTTCGCCGGCAGATGAGGGCGACGAGAGTTGAGCGTAGGAGGAGGGCGGGCCGACGATGCGACCACTCGCCGACCAGCTGGCCTCATCGCCAAAGTCCTCCAGACCGTAGGCGAGCCGGTCCTGCTGGTGCTGCTGCAGCTGCTCCCACTGGAGGATGACGGTGATGAAGCCCTGGTCGTCCTTGATGGACCACGTCGGCGCCTTGTTCGCCAGCGCCATCGAGTTGATCGTATCACATACTATTTGAGGAATGGCTGCCAGCGCTGGTGAAAGTAAAATAAACAAAATGTTAGTCAGACATGACATTATTCCAATCAACTTCAGCACTCACCCGACTTGAGTGCATCCACACTGGCCGCCGTCCAGCTCTCTGTCTCTCGGAGCAGCAGAAAGACCGTCTGGTCGGCGGTGGACGTCTTTGCCACCGACGCAAAGACCGCCTCATCTTCGACCTCGGTGCCGTCCTCCTCGAAGACCAGTCGAAAACGACTGCTTTTTGTGGTTGTGGAGGTGGTGGTGGTGGTGGGAGTGGCAGCACCTGATGTGGTGTAGCCTAACCTTTCCGCCGCCCTGCTCTTCAACTCGGCCAAGCTGGCAGCACTGATTGACTTGCGCGTCGTCCGGTCCGCCGACCAGACCTTGTACGGCCGCTGTTGTTGCTGTTGCTGCTGCTGCTGCTGTTGCAGTTGGCTGCCAGAGAACTGAAAAGAAAAAGGGGAATTGTAAAATGGATTATTTGCCCACTTTTAGCACTTACCACCAGTTTGGGCATGGTACAACGTGGTGGTGGTGGTGGTTGCTACTACCACTACAGCTACTACGATGAATGCAGATACGAAAACAGGAAGAGTGATTTCGGAGAAGAAAGTTCGAGGACCAAAGAGGATGATTGTGTTGTTGTTGCTGCTGCTGCTGTTGATCTTCGTTAAAAAGTTGCATACCAAGAGCGATCATTACCAGAGCAACAAACGGCGTGGACTGATACGGCGTGAGCTTCAAACTGACTGGGTGTGCTTAGAAAGAAGGGGAAAGTGAAGTGAGCCAGAGGTGGAAAAGATGAGCCAAAAGAGGAGGAGGATGCTGAGGATCACATGTTGGGGAGAACAAGAAGTTGGTAGGTATAAGTAGGTGAAACGAAGAAGAAGAAGAAGAAGAAGTTGTAAAGGAACTGCTTCAGGTTAAAGATGTGCTTGGGGTGATGGAGGAGGTTTCCGAATGTTGTAAAGTGGTGCAGTAGAGTTGGGCAGTGTGCTGAGACGAAACAAATGAAAGTGGTGATTTGGACCTTTGGCGTGAGCACGATGTACACCAGTCAAAGGCAGCTCCAGCTACAGGCAGTAAACGTTGAGAGAGAGGAGAGGGGAGGCTCTTGTACGAAAGGTGGGCGTGCTTATGCTGCTGCTGTTGGCCATGTACTACCATCTTCATCAGCCACCTTCTTCACCCGCTCACTGCTTTCCCATCTCAGCCTTCTCAGCTAGGTCCACCCAGAAAGAGGGAGAGAGGGAGAGAGGGAAGTTAGAGAAAGAGAGAAATTGCATGGAGACTGCAGTCTTCCAGCTCCAGCTCCACCTCCACCTCCAGCTCCAGCTTCACAATCAACAGCAACGGCGGTGGCAGCATCAGCATCAGCATCAACAGCAGCAAAACCAGCAGTTGCAGTTTCAGCAGTGGCAGTAGCAGTAGAGGACAAACAAACAAACACGCAGCGAAGGAGTGGGTGAGAGGGTGAAAGAGAGGAAGGGAAAGGGAAGGAGAGGAAGAGGAAGGAAACAAGAGAAGCTGCACACGAGCAGCAGCAGCTGCAGACAGTGCAGACAGGGCACAGCAGAGGCGCAGCAGAATGAGGCGGAAAAAGAGCAACATCACCAGACAGACACTGACTCTGACACTGTCTGAGACACTGCAACGAGTTTTGCACAGTGCCCAAGTGTGTGTGTGTGTTTTGGTGACCTAAAACAAGCGATCGGGAATGCGCCTGCCAGCAGCAGAGGAAGCAGCAGCAGAGGAAGGAAACATCAGTGCTGCTGCTGCTGCTGATGCAGTAGCTGCTGTCGTACCCGAACACACACTTTCTGCAGAAGCTGCATCATCAGCTATAGCCTAGCCTAGCTCGGGTTCGGCTCGGTCTGCAACGTGTCGGCTGCTGCTGCTGCTGCCGCCGCTTCTGTGGTTCGCCTCGTATATAGTGGACCACCACAATTGCTGGCTGAAAGCTGGAAGCTGACTTGCTCGGCCTGACTGACTGACTGACTGACTGAGCCAGTTGTAATAAGCATCCATTAGGAATGCTGCCGCCACCGCCACCACCACCGCCGCCGACCTTCAGTGGAGAGAAGTGGCCACGGACACTACTAACACCATTTTCAGTAGCGCCAGCAGCATCAGCATCAGCACCGGCCTCTCACCAAATTGGCCATGGGATAAGCTGTGTGTGTGTGTGCTCAGGCTTGGCCGCCGCCGCCGCCGTTGTCTCTACTCTTTGCTGTACTGCAAATTCTTCTGCTGCACTGCGGCGAAATGGCAACGAATCGAAATAGAATAGCGGCTCAGGCGGCAATAGATTGCGGTCAGACGGCGATTTTCTCTTTCTCCCTTTCCTTCGCCCTCTTTTGCTCTTTCTTTCGCACTTGCTTCGGCTTTGGCTTCGGCTTCGAATTAGCCTACTGGAAGAGATAATGGCTATTAGAAGTGGGCAGTTGGTGGTAGTGGTGGTGGTGGTGGCGATGATGATGATGATGATGATGATGTAATCATTAGTAGTAAAGAAAAAGAGCCTTTTAGATTAGAGCAAACCCTTCTTTTTCTTGTTTTTGTGAACTCTCTGGCAGTTCTGAATTCGAACCAGTTCGAAATTCGAAAGTGAAAGTCAATACGATTGCCAGAGTTGAGTTTCAGATTTCCGCTTTCTCTCTTTCTTGGGCTATTATTTTAGGTCATTTTCTGTTGGGAAAAGAATAGAAGAGAAAAGAGAAAGAATGCATCAGAAAGTGGCAGCAGTGGTGGTTGGGGTAGAATAGAATTCTTACCAAAAAATGCAACAACTAACAGAATTTATGAAAAAGGATGAATATTTTCAAATGATTGAAAGTAGTCACAGGTTTTTTGTTGACGGTTTTTGGCATCAATTTTGCTCCTGTTTTGCTTTTTATTTGTGAAAAATCCCCGATGAGAAAATAAACAAACTGATGGTGATTTGCTTGCCTCGTTTGCCAGTTATCTCTTTTTCTCTTTTCTCTCTTCGATGTTTTCGAAAAGTGTGTGCCTTGGGAAGTATGTGCGTTTCACCGTCTAAACTCACAGTGTGTCCACTGGCGGACAACTTGCTCTGCCTAAACCGGTTCCACGCTCTTTCTCTCATCTCGGTGGCCGTCTTGTTGTGGTCACGTGACCTGAACTTCAGCTGTCGCCGTTCAGGCGGAAAGAATGAGGAAATAAAAATAAGACAGAAAAAAGATGATGCCACATTGACACAGCAACAACACTCGGCGTGAACTCCACAACTCTGTGATATTAGCAAGTGCAATATAATATTAGTTTTTCCCAACTCCATTGCTCAAGCCCACACACCACGCAACATGGCCAACACTGAACAGGAGATGCTCGAGGTAAGGTGTTTTGGAAGTTGCGATGATGATCAGCCCAAAGTCTAACTTTGTTTCTACTTCTTCAGCAGGCAGCAAACCTTCTTTCACCGTCAGCCGAATATGCAGGTCACCAGATTCTAATTCGCAAACACCTGCTCTACTCGGCGGTCAGCTTTCTGAACAGTCCAAAGATGCGGGCCACCTCCTCCGGCGAGAAGACGGTCTTTCTGCTGAAGAAGGGCCTCACCCAGGATGAGATCGACCTGGTCTTTCAGCTGTGCATCAGCCGGCCGGCCACTGAGGCTTCGCTCAAGAGCGAACTTGAGCTGCTCACCGCTTCGCTGGCCTCCACCTCCAACAGTCTCTTCGATCGCCTACTTAAGATGGCCTTCTACATGACCGTCTTTGGGGGCGCCGCCTACGGCTCGTACCTCCTCTACCAAACGCTCCTCAGACCGCTGCTCTTCCCTGAGGAGGAGGAGGAAAAGGAGGCTGAGGCACGAAAATCGGCGAACCTGGCGGCGGAAACGAACCAGAAAATCGCCCTGCTGAGCGAGCAGATCAGCGAGCTGCAGAAGAGCATCACCATCGTGCAGGAGTTTGTGCGCACCTATTGCCGCGCCCGAGATGACTCGCTCTTTGCGCTGAAGGCCGACCTGGGCTCGGTCAAGTCGCTGCTGGTCAGCAGGGACAACTTTCCCTCGGTGCCCACCATTCCCAAGTGGCAGATTGAGTCGACGAAGAAGAAGAGTGCTGCGGCCACCAACAACACTAGCACCGCCACATCACAAGTGGCCAAGAATGGTACCGGCGCAAAGGCAAACACCGGTGGCGACTCCTCCGGTGGCGAGTCCTCAAAGAGCGACTAGGGCTTTGTTGTGTGGTGATTTCCAGCACAAAAGCAAACACTGTTTTTTATCATTGAAAAATGGTTTTTAATTCTTTGTTGCGATGATGAAAAATGTATAAATAAAGAGAAGACTTTGTACAAGTGAAGTGAAGAGAAAGTGAAATGCGTTGAACACAAGAGACAGCAGTTGTAGCAGTGATAAAAAAAGTGGCAAAAGAAAGGAGAGGAGTACTATGTACATGATAGGAACTATTTACAAAAAAGAAGCCATCATCCAGATCAGATCAGATCCGATCTAGTTCAGATCACCTGCCAGCATCGACTTGACGAGGCGCTCACCTCTTCTGCTGGAGCTGAAGAGCAGCAGCCTGACGAGGACGAGGAAGACGGCGGCGAGGCCAAGTGCCAGACTGAGCACGGCCAGTGTCACCAGCTGAGTGGAGCTGATGGTGATCTGCAAGTAGGAAGTGGTAGTAGTGGTGCTCTTGATGCTGGCCAGTCTGCTGCTTGAGCTGCCGCTAATCTCCAGATAGTTATCTTCAGTCAGCTCCTCAGCAGGCGCAGCCTCTCCGGTGGCGGCGAAGCGAGAGAAGAGGGCCACCATCTGCCGACTGACCACCCGGTCCTCCTCGGTGGAGGCCATCGCCGAGGAGTCCTTGTAGGCGAGGCCAAAGGCGAGAATGACGTCGTCGCCGTGGATGGAGGAGTTGATGAAGGCCGGGGCAATTGAGAAGGAGGGCTTGTAGTCCAGCTTGTAGCGGAGGACGGAGCTCAGGCTGTAATCAGCACCACCTTTTTGGACGGACCTTTTCGCCAGCAGATTGAGGGCGCTGCCGTAGGAGCGCATGTGCGAGTTGATCAGCAGCTCGGCGCAAAACTGCACGTAGGTGGAGCGGTCCTGAACGAGGCCGCCGTCCCTCAGCTGCAGCATCGCCTCCTTCTCACCTCCTTCGGTAACCTCACCGCCGTAGAACATCTGCAGGTCGTCGCGAATCGCCGCGGCGTACTCCCCCGTGGTGACATTGTTGCTGATCAGCCGACTGTACAGCTGCCCGTCGACGACCATGTGCTTGAGCAGGCAGAGGTTGCCCTCGAACTGGTTGCTGCCCAGCATCACCGAGCGCACGTACCGGGGAAAGTGGCCTCGTCGGAGGGCGGCCAGCGGCTCCTCGGCAATCAGCGTTCCGTCGACGACTGGCTTCCACCCGTAGCCGCCCTTCGCCAGGACCTCCTCCGCGGAGGCCGCCTTCAGACAGGCCAGGTCGGCGCAGTTGTTGTGGGCGAGCACCTGGGCGGCCTTCACCTGGTTCACCTCTGGCTGGTCAAAGACCCAGCTGCCGACGGCGATGCCGCTCATGAGGATGGCTCGGCTGAAGAGGGGCTTCTCCTCCATCTGGAGGGTCACCGGAGAGCTGAGCAGCACGCTGATGGACATCGAGCCGGTGAAGCGGCCAAAGAGCGTCACGCTGTCTGCGGAGCCGCCCAGCGCCGCGGCGTTCTCATTGATCCAGCGGAGAGCGGTGATCTGGTCCCAAATGGCGGCATTGTTGCCCTTGAGGAAGCCAAAGACGCCGACGCGGTACTGCACCGTCACCACGATCACCTGGCCGAGGGCGGCGAGGTAGGCGCCGTTGAACTGGCGAGCGTCGGCAAAGTCGAAGCCCTCGCCGGGCAGCCAGACCATGATGGGCAGATTCGATTTCTGGGCGCCAGCCGGCACGTAGATGTTCAGGTAGAGGCAGTCCTCAGAGACCTAGATGAAAACAAAACAAAACAAATTGATTAGTTTTTGTTTTAAAGTTAAAAAAGTGTAATGAACACTTACATTGTGCGCCTGGTCAACGTCCAGAAGTGGGCTGATGGCCGCCGCGAGGTGGTGCATCTGCATGCAGGTCGGTTTCGGCTGCTGGGCCAGCAGAAGATCTCCGGATCCGTTGACTATTGGCTCGGGCAGTTCAAAGCGACGCTGGGGACCGGTGGGCGGGAGGGCGTACGGGACGCCGAGGAATCGGTGCACCAGGGCGCCATTGTCCAGCTGAACGGTGCTGCCAACCAGGGTGCCGGAGGAGGTGCCGGAGAGTACCGGGTCAGAGTGGATTGAGGCCGATTGACAGATTGGGGTGGTAAGGGCAAAGGTGAGCAGAAGAAGAGTACTGGAAACGATGAGAGTTGAGGAATGCATCTTGATCATTGGGGTGAAAGTGTTCAAAGTAGAAGTAGAATTGTTCAGTAACTATTCAGTTGAGTGGAGCAGTAGAAGTGCTCAGTGGAGGTTCGCTTGCTTGTTCGCTTTTGAAAGTGAGTTTTCAATTTGAAGCTAACTCGTGCACCGCTCGCTGCTTATATACACTTTTTCCCGCCGTCGCCGCATCAACGAACGAACGCTCTCACTTCTGCAGCAGCCAATACACACTTTGATTGCCGGTGATGGCACCGAGAAGACTGAAGAAGGGCAAAGCAGAGCAGAAGAAGGAAGAGGAGGAGGAGGAGGAGGAGGTTCTGAAGCCAGGGAAGATGTTTTTGTTGTGTCTTCTGCTACCACTAGCAGTGGTGACGGTGGTGAAGACGGTGGAGACGATGACGGTGGTGATGGTGGTGGTGATGATGGAGATGAAGATGGAGGCAATAAATTACGAAACGCGCACGTCTGATCGAAAACGAAGAGAGAGAGAGAGAGAGAAGGGGAGATGCTGCAGGACAGATAGAAGAGCTACTAAGCTGCAGTCCAAGTTGAGTGACCTGCTCCGTCTTCTTCTTCTTCTTCTCTGCTCCTATCTCCCTCTGCTTCTTTCTTGCTAATTTCTCGGGGAGGCGACCACCACTGCACCTCTACTTTTACTTTCTTCACTGTCTTCACTATCTCCCCTCTCTCTCTCTCTCTCTCTCTCTCTGTTACTTATCACTTGCTCTGGTGGTAGTGTTGGTAGTGATGACGGTTACCTTGACAGTGCACCACAGAGTGCTCCCTTCTCGTTGAAAAGAGCACTCTGTGGTGAGTGCTGGAGACAGCCGACGGTGGTGATGGTGTCTTCGACCGGTGCTGGCTGCTCTTCTCCGAAGATGACTCGCGTGGTCAGCCGAAGCAGCAGTGGATGCGGCCGTGTGCCCGTCGTCCATTGTGCGATCATTGCCTCCACCGTCTCTCATATCACTTACATTTGGTCAGATGTCGTCTACCTGACCTGACTGACTCTCACTGCTAGTGACTGTGTAAATGTACTACTACTGCAGCTGCCTGTACCCTACACTGCTCGGCTGCCAGAGAGTTCGCCGACACCAGCCGACACCATCGTCCTCGCGTGGAAGAGTCCAGCAAGACTGTACCTATCTCAGTCAGTCTTTCTTTTCAGTCAAGTGTCGTCAGGGCAAGGCAAGGTGTAAGGCAATTGACCGCCGCGAGACGGTGAGCACGCACGCACGGGCATTCTAAGTAGGTAGGTGTACCCTGCTGTTGGCATTGAAGCTGCTGAGCTGCGGCGGTCAGAAAGAGAATTGAACTGTCTCGAACATTCTTTCTCTTTCTCTTTCTTTCTTTGACAGTGCCTCGAGGGTGTCACGGCGGCGGAGAAGGCACTGCGCTCTAAAGTTCATCTTCGGTTTTGGCCTTGTACAGCGGCGACGGGGGTTCAACAGCGGGGACAGCTGAGACAGATGTACAAATGACTAGACGGCCATAACTCAACACTTGAATTTCTATTCGCCATTGTGACATGACATGTCTCTTCCATGATGCATTGAGCTCAATGAAAGTTCATCCTGTGACTTTGCACGGCAGAATGCACAGACAGCTGCATGGCCTGCGGTGCTGTGGACCTGTGATGGAATGGTTTATGTGTTTGTTTACAACAATTTCCAACTCAAATGTCGGTCGTGATGGAGGTGGTGGTGGTAAACAAGGAGAGGAGGAGGAGGAAGAGGGAGGTACAACTGTCCATCCAGCTATTGCATGTGCACATCATGTGCAGTTGCCGGAGCAGCAACAACAACAACAGTTGCAATCGACCAGAAGAGTGGTCATTGCTATGTGTATCGTAGTCCATTTTGTACAGTAACACTTTCTCCCCTGGTTGTTGTTGTTGTTGCTCTTAATCTGTTCTTCAGCTACCCCTCCACCTCTTCCTTTCCTTTCCTTCACCTCTAAAGTGAAGGCGATGTCGCCTGCAAGGTGAAACCATCTTGCAACTTTCCCCCTTTTACTTTCCAAACGCAACAGGTGGTCGAAAAGGATAAGGTAAAGAGGTGATGGGGATGGGGACTCGTTAATCTCCCTGTCGTCCCCGTCTGACACATCTGACAACTGAGAGAATATGGCTTGCGGTGTGTGTTAGGCAGAGCTGTCGTGTTGACTGTGCCCAACACTTTCACATTTCCCATGAAATGGCCTCCACCGAGGACGACGACAACAACCACCGTCGCACGATTTGTCCTCGTGTTCGGGATGATTGGCCATGTGAGAGAGAGGCTGTGTGTAATGGATTCACTAGGTGGTATCATCAAGCAGGTACAGGTGCCATCACCCTCGGCCAGACAAAGGTAATTTATCGGTTTGTTTTTGTGTGTCAAACCTCGCTGGCCATAATAAATTCTCTGTCACTGTTTCAGAATTGAGCAGAAAGTTGTACACACGTCTGAGTTAGCTCATTTGTTTTCATCTTGAAAAACCTGAGTTAACCTCAGTTCTTTGGACTTTAGCGTTCTCACTTTCTCTGTGTTGCACAATCACGTGCCAATCGAGGAATGAAAGAAGAAGAAGAAAAAAGAAGATGCAATACAACTAATAAACACGCCGACTGACTGACAGAGAATGAATGACTGGTGAATGCCACCAGCAGACATCGTTTGTATACACAAAGGAAAGGTTTCAATGCTGCGGCTGTCTTTTAAAAAGTGCCATCCAAAATGCGTACAAAAAGTCCACCACCACAAGTGTGTACAATACATAGTGTCGCTCGCTTGCTCGCTCTGTCTAACTGACATTATCAAATTGGAGCAGACAGTGAAAGCCACAGCCGCAGAAGC